AGGGTTTAGGGTTTAGGGTCTATAATGCCACTAGAACCAATGAAAACACAAGTTCCTTTAAGGGTTTCTGAGGGTTCTGTTACAGGCTCCTTGACGGGCTTCTTAAGGGTTCTTTCAGGGCTTCCTGGAACCCTGTATGGGCTCATAAGGTTCACTATGAGGCCAGCGTCTTACGGGATGTGTTGTCTTTATAAGGTTTACTAAAGGGGTCTAAGGGCGTACAGCTTGAGTATTAAGGTCTGTTCGGGTGTGGTGTTTCAGGCTTACGGCTTTGGGTTTAGGGCTTCGGGTGTAGAGCTTCAGTATCTAGGATTTAGGGTTGAAGCTTAGTGTTGAGGTGAACGGTCTGTGACACCAGTCATGATTTGCCTAATACCGATGACCAATGCTATTCAAATGCAATACTCATCATTATCATCATCATGATCGTCAAAAGCGGCAGTCTTGTCATGTCGCGGTCTGTTTTCTACTGATTACCCCTTGAAGCCCTGAACAAAGCAGAGCCGCAGATCAGAACAGCAAAACCATGCATAAGCAAAGCCCTGCATTTGCCAAAACTCCCACACCCCTCAGCTACAAAACCAAAGTCTTGGCTTTGTCAAGTAGCCCGCAAAACCCAAGGGGATGGTGGAAATAGGGGATTTGGGAGTTTAGGAACCCTATACCCCAGACCCCTGTATGCTCCGTACACTACTGAACCTTGCAGCCCGCGAACAAACAAGGAGTAGTAGGGAAAACCAGAAATCAAGAGGTTACTTCTTACTTGTAGTGATACTGTTGACGATATGCGTGAAGCGATTACTGGTAATACTAACATGAGTAACAAGATTTGAACGATCAACTTGGTAATCACAAAAACATACTAAATGTCATTGTAAGGAATTAGAAAGGAATACCGACAATGGTTAGAGTACACCAGTTCATACTGATAGCAAGAGTGATGTTCTCAAAAACTATCAGTCACACGTGATGGCAACTCTATAGTTGCGAATGGTAGCAGCAGTATTGGTAGTAGTCAACAATGCTTTCAAAGGAATCAAAAACAACAATAGTAATGGTAGAAGGATAAAAACCGCAATGAAACAACCGTGTATGCTAGCCATCGCCATACCCTACACTGTGACACCCCAAACCCCAAACCCCAAACCCCAAAAACCTAGACTCTTATCTGCCATAAACCCCTAAACCCTAAACTACTAAACCTAAACCCTAAACCCCAAACCCTGAACTCTAAACCCTAAACCCTAAACCCCGAACCCTAATCCCTAAACCCTGAACCCTAAATCCCCCGAAGCCCCAAAACATGCCTCCGCCCACTCGGCGCGCTTCTCACAGGCGCTCACCGCGGAGCTAAAAGTAACGACCTTGGCTTTAAGTTTCGGGTTCAGGGCTTTGGGTTTAGGGTTTTTAAGGTTTAGGGTTTAGGGTTTAGAGTTTAGAATTTAGGGGTTTAAGGGGTTAGGGTTTAGAGTTTAGGGTTTAGGGTTTAGGGTTTAGAGTTTAGGGTTTAGGAGTTTAGACTTTAGGGGTTTAAGGGTTTAGGGTTTAGGACAAAAGTTTGCTTTATGTTGAGCCCCTGTTCCCCCTGCTGAAGGCTTTAGGGTTTAGGTTTGGGGCTGAAGCTTTATCTAAGGCTTGGGGTGTGGGGTTGGGAAATGCAAAACCCGAGAGGCTTAAACTACATACTTAGGTCAGGAAGACCTCTGGGTTTTTGACCACATGCCTTATGGCTTCTAATAAGGTTTAGGGTTTAGAGTAGTCTAAAGGTGATGGTAGGGTTCAGGGTTTGGTTTGTTTGCTTTTCTGGGAGTCTAGCGTTAAGCTGGAAGGTTTCTAGCTTTTGTCAGGGCGAACTATGTATGTATGTATGTATGTATGTATGTATGTATGTATGTATGTATGTATATATATATATACATATATCCACACATACGGAGACGATCAGCACCCTCAACCCCAGACTCAACTTAAGATCTCAAAGCAGAGAAGCCCTGCAGCTAACTTCCCGACCGTGCATAAAAGCCCCTTTGTATACATCCTATGGTTTAGGGTTTTAGGGTTTAGGGTTTAGGGTATGGAGCCTGTATTACAGGACCTGGGACTCATATATATGCACATGTCATATTATGTATATATATATATATAGAGAGAGAGAGAAAGAGAGAGAGAGAGAGAGGTAACGTGGTAGCACCGGACAGCCCATGATCCGAAGTTCGCAGACAAACCCTAAACCCTAAACCCTATGCAAAGCAGCCGTGGCATGGAGACGGCGGCTGGGCAGCTGGGCCAGCCTCTTCGAGACCCAGAGACTGACAAGGTGCAAAAGGGTGTTCAAGAGAGGTTTAGGGTTTAGGGTTTAGGGTTTAGGGTTTAGGTTTAAGAAGTTAGACTCAGAGATTTCAGGCTGCAAGAGAGTTAGCGATTTGGGACAAACTTGAAAAGGGGATTTGTCACTAGGTTATTGGCGATGGGTTCACGGGCACAGGGTTTGGGGTTTAGCACTTGCAGAGGATTTGTGATGTTTGGCTTGGGTTTTAGCTGTCAAGGAATTTGTTTCAATGCTTTGTGTAAGGCGCAGGGGCATAAGGCTTCCTCTGGTTCAGGGGCACTATTTGCATTCCACATTAAAGCCACGTCGTTGGGCCACTTCTAATTAGGCAGCATTGCACCTGTCGGGTGTGGAAGGATCCTTTGTGAATATGTGTATACATGTCTTGAATCTTGGCTGACTTCTGAACCCCTCCAAAAAGTTAAACTTTTGGCCTCCTTATCAAAGTTATATAGAAACCCAAAAAGTTAAAGTCCTAAGAGCCAACCAGAAGAACACCAAGGAATTTCACGCATGTGGTGATACACGCAACCAATCAAAATGAGAACCTATATATAATTATACATATATATATATATATATGTATTCCAAGCCGAGCACCCCGCGCTTGACCCGAAGCTCTCGTCCTTAAACATCCTACACTCCAAGCGCCAAGCTCTCAACTTTAGACAAGTCACAGGCAGGAACCTCGCCGCCAAGCACCTGGCTCCCGGCACGCGGCAAGACTAACACGGGCTTCAAGGATGGAAGGCTTCGGATTTCGAGCGCTTAACACGTAGGGGTTGTGTGGTTAAGACAAGAACTTGTGGCTTCAATGGTGCAGGTGAAAGCTTCAGATTTCAAGGCTTGGGCTTCAGGGGTGTATACAGGGTTTAAGCTTCTCCTCTTCCGTGCGACAGCAGAAGCAAATCACTCAGAAGTATGGTGGATCAAAAATCCCTGGCATTTCTGGCTTGCAGAATGGATGGCCTATTGGTACGATGGGCTTGCGGGGCTGGGTGCATAAATGCCATCTACTAGTTCGGGTTTGGCGGGTAAAGATCGCTGTGCTGGGAATGCCATGCCACTGATGTGGGTGTAAATCTACTGTAGCTTTGTGCTTTACATCCGGGGTATACCAAGTGAGGCCCCATATACCATATATATATATATATATATTTATTTATTTATTTAAAGATAAGAATTGGTAGAACGGCTGCCTTCGCAAGACAACCTGCGCCTTGGCAGCTTGGAAGCTTTAGAATCCGCAGGGAAGCTATCCTTAATCCGACCAGCAGGCCCTCGCCCTCGCTCCCTAAGCCATACCTTAAGAACCCAAAACCCACTTTTTTGTAGGTTCTTAATATAAACCCTAATATGGGTTTTGGGTTCTTAAGGTAAGCCCTAAACCCCAAACCAGAGATGGCATATCTCCTTTCTGTGCCGAGTCGCAAGCTAGATGCACTGCTAGCACGGCAGTACACAGTTGCCCGCTACAGTCATGTCGGTTTGCCGAACAGAAGGGAGAGAGCTAGAGCGAGGGGGATGGGGGTGAGGAAGAATGCTCAGGAACCGTCCGCTAGCGCAAGGAGGCGGGGCTAGGACGGGGGTATATACCAGCAACGACTCCTGCCGCCTTCGTCATGAGCCAGCTCCGGACAGAACACGCAGGCATGCCGTGGAGATATGCCTTCTACTCTACGTGTCAGCGACATGCTCGGAGGATGAAAACGACATATGCCATCTACTTGTTGCGCAACAAGCCGACCCAAAAGAACATCTCTTAGCATATGGAGTCGATTTGCATATGCCATCGACTTGTTCCCTCTACATGTGATAAATTCCATGATAACTGCTGTTGTGCAGTCTCAAACTTCGTCGGCACTCTTTGGAGAATGATGCCAAGGCGCCGCCCTTCTCGCAAGCACTCAATGCTGCATTGCAGCACACCAGCGACACCTTTGCTAGTTGGAGGCTCAAGGATAACTAAACGGAAATCGGGTTCGAATTTCACTAGCAACCAGTTCATCATAATTTTGAAAAGTTGACAACCTTGCAGGCATCTTTTTCGTGACTCTATGACGCCAGATTTCATCATGCGGCTGGCGCTACTTGTGCTGACCAAAAATCATGTGATGTTATTTGCCTTGTCAGTCGGACTCCGCCTAGAAGTAAACCCTACTACACCCTAACCCCTGAACCAGCCAGTTGCCACGTGTAGCTCCAACTTATTTTCGTGGGGAGAAGTGCCCAAGAATTCCGCCAAGGCCAGCTGCGCCGCATTGCACATCATCTACAACGATACTGGCTCTTTTCTATGACTCACTGATCGATACAAAGGCCTTCAAACCTTGTAAGCCCGTATGATCCCTTCCTAATCCGTTATGACTCGACTCGTCATGACAATCACAGGGATACCCCTGAACCCGAAACTCTTAAATCCTACTTGTAATACTGCATCCCGGCCGTGGCCTCGCGCAGGATTGAGGACGAAGCCCAGTGCCTCGTTCCCATAAGCCCTGCTTGAAGGCTTATGGGGAGATAGACTTAGAAGACGGATGGTTTGGGGCTCAGGTGCATGGTAGATAGGCTTGGAAGAAGCACGAGGGTCCTAGGTTCATGGGTATAGTCTATAGAGTCTAGTAGTAAAGGCCGTAGTCGTCGCCGTTGTAGTGGTGGTTGTTTTTGTTGATGTTGTTGTCGTCGCAGTTGTAGTGGTCGCAGTAGTCGTGGTAGACGTGGTCGCCGAGTCGTGCTAGTCAAGTGAAGGAGGCAAAGGAGGAGGAGGCGGAGGAGGAGGAGTAGTAGGAATTGCAGCAGCAGCAGCAGCAGCAGCAGCAGCAGCAGCAGCAGCAGCAGCGGCGGTAGCGGTGGCAAAAGCAGTAGCCGTCGCCATCGCCGTCGCCGTCGCGGTAGCAGCAGCACAAGCACTAGCGGTAGGACATGGCGGCAGCTGCAGCGGCAGCCGTAACAGAGGAGCAGGAGCAGTAGCAGTGGCAGGCGGAGCAGCAGTAGCAGTAGCAGTAGAGGCAGTAGCACCGGTAGCAGTGGTAGCCGTGGCAGCAGTAGCAGTAGAAGAAGCAGTAGCAGCAGCATCAGCAGCAGCAGAAGCAGCAGCAGCAGCAACAGTAGCAGTAAAGGTGTAGGAGTAGAGGCAGGCGTCGTCGTCGTCGCGGGAAGGTGCAAATCCCAAGCAAACGCGACTTGCTGTAGTCGTGCGGACAAGGCCCCAACACACCCTACGAACAAGAGCTGTATGCTCTTTCTGCTGTACTGGCAAGATTGATACTGTAGCCGTGCTGACTCAAGATGCTTTCAACCTCCGCTGGGCCTCCGCCCCCTGCGGAAAAATGTCCGGGGCGGGGGAGGGCGGAATTCCGAAGTCTTTCATTCGTTTCCGATCCCAACGACTTTTCCGAGAGGCCAGGAACCTCCACACGGGCCAGCTCTCGGCGCAGCGTCACAGTCTCTGGCTCCGCCTTCGGAGTCATCGGAGCTTTCGAGTTGAGGGAAGTTAGTCCAAAGCCTTGTGCTTTTGACGCGCTTCCAAGCATTCGTAGGCTTCAGACAAAGCCCTAGCTCCTTTGCAAAGCCCCTTGAACCCGAAATCCTTCACTCAAAAAGATTAGAAAGATGAACTATTCAAAACAGTACTCTGCAAAAACGCAGGCCCCGGGATCGGTCCTTCCGAATCCTTTCTGTCCCTTGTCCCGGTCTTCAAGCACTCAGGCTGTAACTGGCCCAAGCAGCTCCGCTGGTGCAGGAAGAGTCTTCGCTGCGGCCTGGCGGCACTTTGCGGGTTTTCTTGTGCTCGACAACATTCACAAGAAGGCGGTCACGTCAGTTACCCATGATGCTACACTGCTGAATTTGGTAGCAGGTCGTGTCTATCGATCACAGAAAATCACATTGACATGGGCATCGTGCATGCTGCTACCACACCACACGGACCGCAAATGCGGCAGAATCATGCAGGGCAGCGGCTAAAGAACGACCATGCCTAGCAGCTACTTATACATTGCCGGTGTAATCTTCGGGCTACGGTACCATTGTCTCTAGCTTCCTTGCCGCGGCCAACCACCCGTCCAAGATCACAGCACTGGAAACAGGGATGACAAAGGAGAACACGGCAGCAGCAGCAGCAGCAGCAGCAGCAGCAGGAGGAGCAGCAGCAGGAGCAGCAGGACGAGCGGAGGAGGAGGAGGAGGAGGAACCTGTCGATGGCTTGCTCCTGCGCCCGAATGAAATGTAGAATGATAACACAATCAACATGTTCACCGGTGGTCACGTCACGCGCTCCAACAAGATTGGAAGCTAGGTTTTACTAGCAAGAACCTGACAGGCAAGTGTTTGAGAGCACCCCCTGTTTGATCAAAAGTGCCATGAGCCAGAAGTCGTTCCCTCGATCTTCAAGGTCCATGACCCGATGTGCCTCCGCCGCAAGAACGGACGCCTCGGCCGCTTCCAGCCGCTCCTGACAGCAGCCGTGCAAACAAACCGCGGCCCTCGGCCGTCACATCTCATGAGCATCATCGATCCATTGCTGTCGAGGGTCCGTCCGTTCGCTCAGGTCGCGCTTGGCGCTGGCAAGCTCGTCTTGGGCCTCGCGGGCCTGTCATGGGACAGGTCATGGAGTCATAGGCCATAGGCTCGGCATGGACTCAAGCCGTGAACTTAATT